TGAGCGCTCGCTGAGCGTCGCCGCGGGTCCCTGCGTCCCTGCCGCGCTTCCTCGGTCTCCCTGCCTCCGCCGCTCCGCCTCTCCCTCCTGTCTCTCTGGTCCCAGCCTTGGGGTCCCCGGCCCGTCCCCTCGGCCTGAGACTGGCGCCCGGGGGCCCGGAGGGAGGGCTCAGGAGAAAGGGGCCAATGAGCACCGAGAGTCGCGTCCCCGGCTGGGCGGGGCGTGGGGAGCGCGGGCCCCGGGGGCCCCCTGCCGCCTCCCCGGAGCCTGGGGCTGCGTTATTGGTGGCGTCCAGCCGGGAGGATGAGGGGCAGGGGGCGGGCGGCAGGGACACGGGACTCTGGCTTTAACCACTTCGTGGCTCTGGTACTTGGAGTTCAGGGGCTGCCTGTGAGGTCGTGAAGAGAGTAACAGCGTGTCACGCTGTGGATGGGGGTGTCCTCAAAAGCGAGCGAGTGCGAACGAGGTGTGTGTGGGAGGACAGGTGGCAGTCACCGTGGCAGGGAGTGTGCGCCAGGGAGTGCCAGGGGCCCTTGGCGCCTGGAACCAGGGAGCGTGTCTTGGGGGGTCGGCGTGGTGTGAGCGCGCGAGTCTATGTGAGTGTGTCAGAGTGTGAAAGACGCGGATGTGAGTGGCAGGGTGTGGGAGGGCTGCGTGTGTGCAGGGGAGGGCGTGGGTGTGGGGAGGATGTCAGGGGCTGTCAAGGTGATGGGCAGGCCTGTGCCAGCTTGCAGGGGGCTGGGGTACAGGATGGTACCCACAGCTCGCTGGAGCCTGTGCGGTAGGGAGGGTATGAGGTTGGGAATGTGTGAGCGCTCCTGGGGGAGAGAAGGCGGATGTGTCTCTGCCACGACATACCCCAGATTCACGTGTCTCCTGCCATTTCTCCCCAGATCTAATGTTGGGGGGGACAGAGCTGGGGGTGTTTGGGGGCTGCCTTTGCCAGTACACGTGCCATCACGTGTGTAATTTTGGTGCTTTCAGGAACAGAGCTGGGGGAGAGAGGGGTGTGTGCTCATTTCTGAGGTGTGAGCCTCTCTCTCCCTCTCCAGAGGTGTCTGTGAGTGTCTCTGGAGGGGGACAGGGAGGGCCTGGCCTTGTGGGTTGCAGTGTCCCTGTTCATCTGTCCAGGCCCTGGGTGTCCTTGCGGGAGCTGGTGTTTCCCTCTGCGGGGCTGTGTGTGATGGCCTGAATGCCTCTGTGTAGCACCGAGAAGGTGTGTGTGGAGACATGTGTCTATACCTGTGTCTTCCTGGGGCTCTGTTTGTGTTGGCAGCTTCTCTCCTGGTCACTCTCAGGCCTGGAACAGCCAGGAGCCCTTCCTACCCCCCCAGCTCCTCCAGCAACTTTTCCACTCCCAGCCCCAGCGTGCTGGGTCCTTGGCAGAGCGAGAGGCCAGAGGATTCTTATGGAAATGGGGTCAGAGGCACGATGTGCTGCCCCAGAGTCAGTGCCCATGCTGCGGGTGAGGCAGAGAGTGGCAGGAAGAACAGAGCTTTGCTCATGGGAGTGGGACATCCTGGTCACTCAGTTCCACCTCCCCCAACCCCAGACCTGGCTCAAGTCCCTATGTGTTTGTTGACTTATATACTTATTGGGAAACAGCCGGATGCCAGGTTGCTGGCGCAGGGGTGTGGGCATCTCACAGTCCCTGGCTTGGCCCAGAACCCTTCTTCCAGATGGGGTGTGGTGGGGAGTGGCAAAGACCCATTTGGCAGTGCCTGGGGAGGGTAAATAAGGAGGTACTGAAAGAAGGGGCACAGAAAGGGCATGGCCCAGGTAGTAACCTGAACAGTAACAGTACATGGGCGGGGGTGGGGTGGGGTCAGGAGCCTGTGGCTTCCAGTGCTGGGGGGTGTAGTGAAGGATCATGGGGCGAGATGAAGGGGACAGAGGACCGCTGGGTGGGTGATGAGAGGACAGGGACAGGAGGCATCATTACCAGTTGTACCTCAGAGCCCACTGGAGCTGAAAAAGCCTTGGGGAACACTGCAGCTGAGCCCCATTTGACCAGAGAGGGCTGTTTATGGAGGATCTACCAAAAGTATTGAAGCTCTGGGAGACGCTGAATCAGGAAAAATTCCCCCAATCTCAACTGGAGCAGCTGCAAAGGGAGACGAGGGCAGAGAATCTTCCTTCTCAGCCACGAAGGCCAGAAGGTCTGTGGGGGTGGAGGAAGGGTCTCTACCCTCTTCCCCCAGCCTTCGCCCAGGAACCCACTCTCTGACTGCTAAACCCTGGGGCTGAGGGGTGGGAAGACTGGCTGACAGAGGTACAGACACAAGGGACAGACAGGAAGGAGGAGGAAGGACCTCAGGGACTGCAAGGAGACAGGAGGTTAGAAAGATAAAGGGGGAGATAGGAGAAAGCAAAAGAAAGAGACAGAAAACACATGTGAGAGATAGAGAGACAGGGAGGCAGAGAGAGAGAAAGCCTCACGAGGGAGAGAGGCAGGAGACAGAGATGGAGAGAGTAAAAATAGCTCAGCATTAAGATAATTGCAGCTCACAGCTCTGCCCTCCGTTAGGAATTAAATGAGGTTTTATTACTTTGATTTTTCTCTCCTGGATCCTACGCGACTTCTCAAGAACTTGGGGAAAAGTTTTTCAGGTGGGTGGCCAGGTGGCGGGGGCTGCGTGGGCGACAGAGGAAGAAGAGAAGGGGACTTCTGGGAGCTTGCGGAGGGGTGGGCAGGGGCCAGGAGAGGGAAGGGGTGATGAGGTTGGTGGAGCCCAGCTGGGGCTGGAGGTGGCAGCCAGGGCCAGGCACATGGGAACAGGGTGTTGAGAAGCCAGGGACCAGGGTGACCTCCAATCACTTTGACTTAGAATTAATCATATGCAAATGAGATATAAAAATAATATGCCACTCCTCGGTTATTATTCTTGAGATAGAAGCACAGGTAGTGGGGTCCAAGGAACAAATTTGAGACCTTGTTTGACTTAACTCCTATTGAACTATGGGTTTTTCTGCTTGGACTGCCAAAAATGTTTGTGGCAGGGTGTCTATTAATGAATCACAGGTCTGAGCACACTATTTTGAGGTGTTTTCTTCCCACCATTTATCTTTTTTTTTTTTTTTGGCAGCTGGTCCGTTTGGGGATCCAAACCCTTGCCTTTGATGTTACAACACCGCACTCAGCCCGCATTTATCTTTAGGTGATTGCCCAGTGCCTGGCACCCAGGAGGCACTACATTCACCTTCTCTGGAAGGTGAATTTGGGAGGTGGTGTGAGGTGTTTGCCCTCTTTTGGGAGGTGAGGATAGGGAACAACAATCGGGAATGTTCCCTCCCTCACCCCAAGCAGGAAGTAGTCATGTGGATAGAACATAAACTTGGGGAGTTTGACAGCCCTGGGTAGGAGTCTCAGGTCTGTAACTTACTGGGTGGACTTAGACAACTTTCTTAGCTTCTCTGTGCCTCAGTTTTCTTGTGTTTCAAAGCCCGCCTCACGTGGCGGCTGTGACGATTCAACAGTATAAAACAATAAAGCCCCCATCCCTGTGCAGGACTCCGGGTTGTCCTTAACAAAGGTTCCAGCTCCCCGGAGATCTAGGGTGCAGTTCCTAAAAGGGCCAGCAGGTGGCGGGGTCGACCAGAGTTTGGACGGCCGCGCTGCTGGCACTGCGGGTCTGTAGTTGGGCATCGCACCCGTGGCTTTGGCACCACGGAGCTGAGACGGAGCTGGCCGGGTTCGCATGTGACAGCTGGAAGGGAGGCCCCCGGAAGTCCCAGGAAGCAGCCTTAGAGGAGCCGGGGAGCGTTGGCTGGGCACACTGAGGCATCTTTCCCTGCCTGTGAGGGAGGAGGGAAGACGAGGAGGGAGGGATGGAGGAGGAATTGCAAGGCCCGCCTCTGGGAAAACCTGTGGGCACCGAGAGGAGAGGGCAAGGGCACCCTCAGCCGGGTGGCACTAGGATAGGTGGGCAATCATCTGAGACATTTACTTACACACTCATTCATTCATCCATTATCCATCCATTTGCCCATTCAATCAATTTACATCGGGTGCTTAGGTTCTTTTATTAAAAATCAACTTTATTGGGCCGGCCCGGTGGCGCACTGCTACAGTGCGCCGCTTGGGAGC